AGCTCGTTTTTTAAAATATGTACAGCTTCAGGTTTTCACAGGAAGGCGTGCGAAAACACGTCTTTGTATGACCACGCAAATTGCATTTTGCTATGACAATTTGACCTGGGTTAATTCAAAACCACTTTAAAAACGTGCTAAATGAAAAATATTCTGAAAAAATGAAATTAATTACGTCAAAACTTCTTAATAAATGTTTTCATTTTAGCGAAACACTTTTAAATAAAGTAACAATTTACTGATAATATATATGTTTTTTTAATATAATTGACAGTTTTATATATTTTTTAAATTTATAATACATAAATTGTTTAAGTGTGCATTTCTATAATAAACATTATTAAAAAAATAAAAAATTGTTTTGTTGTTATAAATAATGACATTCTACGACTACGAAAGTCTCTTTAACAAATTTAAATAAAAGAATAGTTAAAGTAAATACATTTAAAAAGATAAACGAAATTTCTTTGAAAAAAAAAGTTTTAGATTACAATTAAATAAGTTTGATCTTAAATGCTTTTATATTATCGAAACGCTTTTCAATGAAGTAACGAAACAATTCTAATTAGTTTTTAAAATAAGAATTAATTAACTTAACTCAACTCTTTGCAATGACATTGCAAATGGTGGACGCTTTTTTTTAACAGTTGGAAATAACTTTTTGAAAAAAAAAAGTTAGAGGGAAAAGAAAACATTTATAAATTAAACGAAAAATAAAATCAACAAAAAAGAAGAATAAATAAATGTTTTGAAAGAAGAAAAGGAAAAGAAATATCTGAAAGAAAATAAGTAAAAAAGTAAAAATAGAAGTTAAAAAAAAAAACTTTAATGAATAAAATATATAAAAAGAATGATAAAGAAAGAAAAAAAACTATTTAAACAGTGGAACCCCGATTGGCAAATCAAATTTTTTTTTATTTTATCATATATTTCTTTAGTTTTTTTTCATATATTTCTTGGATTATTTATTTTATTATTTATTTATTTTTCTTCAGTTTTTTAGTGTATATAGTTTTCCTGATTATTTTTTGTTAGTAACTTTTTTTTTAGTTATTATTTATTTTTATTGGTATATAAATTTTTTATACATATATTATTTGTATTTATTTTTATTTTAGCCATTTATTATATATGTTTTAATCTACCGTGTATTGTTATTATTTTTTTTAATCTCAAGTTTTGTTTTTTTTAAATAATTTTTTGTTTTGTTTGTAATGTTTGTTGTAACTTTTGTTTTGTTTTGATTTTCTCAGCGTTTTTTTTTTATATTTTATTTATTTGTTTGGTCATAATATTTGCAATATATTTTGATTATTATATTAAAACAACTATGATTATATTAATATATTTACTAAATCTTTATAATTTTTTTAGCAGTAGTCGTTTTTATGTCGTCATTAGTTGTTACGTTTTGTTAGTTTATTACCATTTGTAATTGTAACTTTGTATGTAAAAACGATTGCTGTATGGAAAGTAATAACAATTTATTTAAATTATTATAATTACATATTTTTATTATTGTTATTATTATTATTATTAATGTTATTGTTATTATTATTATTATTATTACTAAGATTAATTGTATATATATATAAACTATTTTTTTAAGATATTTACTTGAGATTAGTATTTCAATACTATTTGATAATAGCCATGAAAAAATTATTTTCAGAATATATATGATAAACTGTTTTTTTTTTTATTTATATAATTATGTATTTTGTATGAGAAATATTTATCTTTTGAAAAATATTAAAAAAAAAAAAGTACAAATGTTAAAACAAAGATTAAATTGGTTTTTTATTGCGTAAATTAAATAGACTAAGCATTTTAGTTTCATGAGTTTTTTTTTTTAGTTGGGTTATATATATATTTTTTTGTGTTTTTGCTTTAACAAAGTATTTTTTTTATATTCTCGTTCATTAAGATTTTTTTTCTTTTTACAATTTTTTTTTTATATAAGTTAAGATATGTTTTTGTAGCGCATTTTTAAATTTTGAAAGTATGTCAAAAGCCGTGGTCAAATCGTTAAAACTTTATTTTTTGTGTGGTCATATAAAGACATGTTTTCGCACGCCTTCCTGTGAAAGCCTGAGCTTCAAGGTGATATTCAGTATTTGCTATATGATCTATGGCATTATTTTTTTTTTATTATAGGCGAACCTTTTATCCAGTTTACTTTAATAAGTTTATTTTTTACTTTTATCAAGTTATAGTGCTTTTTATAGCTCTTTTAAATTTTATTTACTTTTTACTCTTTATGTATTTTGTAAAATATTTCTTTTCTGTTTTCATCTGCCTTGACTAGGGTTTGAACAAAAACCGACTTTTTGAAAAACCAGTTTTCGAATTCCAAATTCTCCTAAAAACCGGTTTTACCCGGTTTTTTAAATTTTCCTTTATTAAAATTGAATAACAAGAACTACTTAATTCATATATTATATTTATTTTACTTATTGTAATTTTTCCTAGGAAATAGGATTTTAAAATAGGGTTTTAGTTTTAAGTGCATTAAATAACAAATCTAAGTTTTTGGTTCATTTATGTGTTGACTCAAATAATAAAAACTCAGCTTTCAGTGTCTTTGGGTTAATAAAAAATTCAATTTTAAAGTCAAGAAACTTTGTAATTGAATTTTCCATGATTTTTTTTTAATTCTTTTTTAAAAAGCTTTACTCTGATGAGCAAAGCTTCTTCGATTCCTTCGATTTCCTCTTTCTTCGATAGATAACTTCGATTTTCTCTTGATCTGGTTGTTCACAATAGAATTTTATAACAATTGACAATAAATTTTCAGACAATTCAATAGTATCAATTTTTGAAGCTAAAAGAAACATTAGATTTTTTTTGCTGGGCCGGAAATATTTTTAGGATTTTGCGATTTCAGTAAATTTTTGCGGATTTTTCAGGATTTTGCGAATTCAGTAAAGTTGCTAATTCTTAATTTAGTACATAAACGTATTAAACTATTACATTTATAAATACATTAACATAATATATTCTTACATTTAAATTCATTTTATAAATACATATAAGTAAATATTAAATCCAAAACTATGTTTTACATCCGTATATTTCTGATTTTTTATAATTATTTTCCTAAGAGTGTAAAAGGTAGTTCTTTTAGTTTTTTATGTATATGTCTATGTATATTTATATATATATATATATACATAGACATATACATAAAAAAAAAAATTATATATAAAAACTTGAAAGTCATATAAAAACTTGAAATTGTACGCCTTCTTGGCCAAGCCTGTATATATATTAGTGTTGCGAAGGTAAAATTTACCCAAAAATTTACTGCTTAGTAAATTTTTAGTTTTTTTTTCACTTAGGGGTCGCCAATAATGTACGTACGCCAAAAAATTTAAAATTTGACCCCCTCCCTCCCCCTATTGCCATGCGTACCTCTAAGTCCTTCTCCTCCTTAAAAAGTATGTATGTTTTTGAAATACCCCTTAACCTTTTTTTTTTTTTAATAAAAAAGTTTATGAAAAAAAAAAAAGGTGGAGATACTTTATACGACCCAAAAGCTCTTTGTTTGCGGCACAGGATCCCAATTTAAAAAACGTCTTTAAACATATAAGCTAAAAGTAATTTGAATAAAATTAAATTACACAATTTTAATGTGTTCGTTTGACCAAGTGATTAATGCTGTGGTCTGTGGCGACAGACACCTATGTTCAATTCCCGTTTGAGTTGTATTGTACTTTTTTTTTATTTTAATGATGAATCAAATAAAAATAAACTATATTTAAGGTGGACATTTTTATTCAGGATAGGCAATCCGTACCCCTTTGGGTAGAAAAACCTAGCAATCTAATTTAGGAGATTTTGAGACCCAAATGACACATTTTTTTTGAAAGGGTCTCTGACCAATTAGCCACGGCATTGCTAAAAACTGTTTTTTTTTACTCAAAAAATAGGTTGCCTGAAATATGCCTTACTCAGGGCCATTATATAAGGGGTGGCATGTGTGCATGGGCGTCCGCAGGTTTTTTTGATGTTCTAAGTTGGCCCCACCCTTGCCCAAATGTGGGGACTAAAGTAGTAAAATTTCAATTTTATTATCTAAAACTAAATTTAAAATCATCGACAGATTTTAAATTATGTAAAAAAAAATTGCAAATTACAAAAGTTACGATAACGCAAAATTTACACCCCCTCATTTTTTTTGTGGAGGAGGGGGAGGAGCGTTTTAGGGCTTTTTTGCTCCCATGCCTCCGCCTTATTTATTTTTTTGCTAGGCCTCTTCATTTGGCATAGATATAAACATACATAAATTTAAAGTTTGCACAATGTGTAAAAGTGTTCTATCTGGAACATCAGAAAATCATGCGGCCCCCATGCATGTGTGTGCATTAAGGGAAACTATACCCTCTACTCCCTAATCAAACATCTTTTAATGTTGGCAAACAAGGATCTTTAGTCAGAATTTTTACTTTTCTATTGATTAGTTGGTTAATTGTGATAAATTAAAAAATTGATGTATTTTGAAGACTTCTCACCTTCTTCCTATGAGCGTACATACTTTATGGACGACCCCTTATTTTTATTTTTTTTTGAAAAAAATAATTTTTTAAGAAAAATTTATATATATATATATATATATATGTATATATATATATATATATATATATATATATATATATATATATATATATATATATATATATATATATATATATATATATATATGAATACATACATATATATGAATACATACATATATATATATATATATATATATATATATATATATATATATATATATATATATATATATATATATATATATATATATATATATATATATATATATATATATATATATATATATATATATATATATATATATATATATATATATATATATATATATATATATATATATATATATGAATACATACAACTTCTAATATCGCTGAACTCTTGTTGTTTTTTTTAACTCTCGCTTATTAAGTTAGTAAAGTTTAAATATTTATTTTGTCAAGGGTTCCAGTTCCAGATGAACGATGGGATTTTCTGTGTGAATACTATCAACCATTAAGGTAATTTTTTAATTTTGTGAAGGTAATTTTGTTTTTGCAAAGCTAAAAAGGCTAACAGTACTACAAAAATACAAATGTATTAGGGGTTGTCCATAAATTAATCACACAAATTTTTGACTATTTTTGACTATATTTGACTTCTCCCCCCCCCCATCCTCATACAACATTGTAACTCCTTAACCTTTTTAAAATCAAACATCATAAAATTCTCATTATTTTTTTTGTTTTTTTAAGACTTTTAACTTTTTAAATTACTGATTACCACCAAACAAGTTTATTATTTAACTCATTTTTTATTATTACTATTAGGGAATGTTTATTATCTTTTAATTTTTTTATTATTAAATAATTAAATTTAATATTACATATAAAATGAAAGATTAACATACATTTTGCACAAATTTTTGATGCAGTCTCAGTCTCTGTAATAAATTTGAAATAAAACGTTTATTTAAAATTTAATTTTGCGTAAAAAAAAAAAAGGTTAGATAATAAAACTAAAAAAGCAATTGTGATAAAAATGAGCTAATTTTTTTTTTTTTAAATAAATAAAATTTAAAAATTAAACAATATTTAGTAATATTTTAAAATAAATTTGACAGTCAAGTTAAACCCCCAGGCATTAACTTTAATTTTTTTAATAAACTTAAATATATTTTTTAAATCAGAATTAAATTACATATTTTTTAAATCAAAATTAAATTACTTTTTTTTTATCAGAATAAAACTATATATTTTTATTAGTTTTAAATAAAATCATATATTTTTAATCAGAATTAAATTATATTATTATGACCTTTGCTTCAAGCTTAAAGTATTAGCATTTTTTAATCGAAAAAATAATAATAAATATCGTAGTGTAAAATAAAATTTATTATTAATTTATTTTTTATTATTAAATAAAAATTTAATTAAATTTTTTTATTGCAATGTAAAGTTGTATAAATATTCTTGTTCTCGCAAGATGATAAATAAAATTTTTTTATTAAATAAATTTCTTTTATGGTTTTTTTTTTTACGTTTTGTTAAATAACTTGGTATACAAAAAAAAAAAAATTCTCATTAACTATGAGGACATTTATTTTCTGTTACTAAATATTTGGATAAAATAATTAGCTTAATAGTGATTAAGTTTTCTTAGTTTTTAATTTTGTTTGAGTTTTTTTCATTAGTAACTTATATCTAACATAATTGTAATTCAAACTTTTGTAACATACTTTTTTACATAATTGTCATTCAAAAGTTAATGTGGTTTTTTATAAAATTACTTCTTTTATTTTTAGCTTATAATTTTATTTTTATCTTTAGCTTATATAATAATTCAAAAGCTAAAAAATGAGAAAAAGTTGCTTAATGGAAAAAAGCCACTCTAGGTGTAGGTAAAATTGCTTAACACATACATAAATTGCAGGTCTTGTTTTAAAGCTTAAAGCTTTAAAACAAGGCCTTATTAAAACAACCACATATTTGAATTTTTTCATTTCACTTTGAAATACATTGGTTCACATCAATTTGTTCAAATACATTGTGGAATCATGAAGGCAAGAAATTTTTCTATAGCAATAGTGCATTGATGAAATACCTTTTATATAAATATCAAATACCTGAAAAACATTTTTTTAATTAGCAAAGATCAAATTAGGATCAAAATCATCATGGTGCTACTGGTAATATTTAATCCAAAATAACCTTTCTATAAGTTAACATTATTAATTACAATTTTGTCAATGGTACCCATTTTTTTTATTCAGGTAACAATTTTCTCTATTTAATTAATGCTAAAAATGTTTTTTTTTTTTTTTAATGTCTAAAGCAGTTTGCATCTTTTAACTTATTCAACAATTCAATTCAACAATTGAAAGGTTTTCAATTTATGCAATTTATCAGTGCATATAATTTATGCAATTTATCAGTGCATATAATTAAGAAACTAATTTGCTATGTACGCTAGAGAAAAAATTTTAATTTTATTTGTTTATTACGTTTAGTCGTTTGACATCTTATTCGTTTAGTCGTTTTTACATCTTATTACGTTTAGTTATTTTTACATCTTATTATCAAAATGTTTTTGCTATATTTGACGTTTTTTCTCAATACATATGTAATATGAAAATAAATTGCTATTTGTAAAAAATATTATTTGATTAATAAATTTTGTAATGATGAAATAAGTTAAATAAAAGAATAACATAATTTCTTTAATAAATGTTTTTATCGCATTTGATGCATGTCTGAAAATGTTTCTTTTATATTGCCCAATTTCCGATGTTAAAACCAATTCTAGAGATAATAAACATAACGATTGCTTTGTTTGCAAAAATGTATTTAAAAATTTACAAAAAAGTTTCAATTAGGCTCATAAAAAAATCAATGCACTAGCTCAAGATTTTGGAGCATCATTTCATTTTTTTACAAGAAAAACTTGTTTAAAAAAATTTTTTTTTTTACAAATAAATAGCAATTAATTTTCTCACTTTCCTGTGCATTGATAAGAACAGTAAAGTTTTTTTTTTTTTTTATTTCACTTCACCTCCTCAAGGCCGAGAAGGCCACTACAAACGAGGAGGCTACTTATTTTGTGGCTATAACCCTCTCTCAACTCTATAACTCCGAAACACGAACCTTGACGAACAAGGCCGCTGCGCGGAGGAACGAGTTGAGCGCGGTACTACCAGGGACGTGGTGGGGATCGAACTCGGAACCACTCGTTTATGAAGCAAGCGCTCTACCACTACACCACTACCGCAAAAGTTTAGCAAAGACATTTAAAAAAACAAATTTAAAAATTGTCAGTGTTTCTAGCGCAAATTATAAAGTATTTTCTTGATAGACTGAAAAAAGTTGCAAAAAAATGGATTTCAAAAAAAAATTGGTTAATGTTTAAAACTCATTTAGTTATGATTTTATAATATTTAAAAAAACTAATAATATGTGATTAAAAGTTTGTTTTTCAATAATGTAATATAAAGTTCACTAAAGTTAAACCAAGGTATAAAAACTTTTTTTTAGTTGCAAGGTTTGGAAAAAATTTGTATGAAAAATTCCAAAAAACTTGTAATGGTAACTTGTAATCATAAATTTTCACACTTAATTTTACACAATATGCAACAAAGAAAAAAAAAAATAGAGTAATAAGTTAGTTTATTTATGCCAAAGAATGGTTTTATTAGGTCAAGAAAAAAATTCCTTTATATTAAAACAAATAACAAAAAAATTTTACAACATGACATGGTTTTAAAACTTAATGGTTATGATTACCAACAATTACGGAGTTATTGTCAGTATCAGACCATAATTAAAAAAGAAAAAAAGAAAAAAAAAAAAAAAATTTAAAAGAGCTGCTTAGTTTTTCAAAATAATCCTTCAGTTAAGCGACCTAAATTAAAAATTTTCTTTTTTTGTTTTTGCAATTACGTCCGAAACATCACACCCTTCCATAGATAAACAAAATAGATTTTGAACAAAAGTTAGAGCAAGGTTTAGCAGGAGAGATGTGAATAAGGTCATTTTTAAGTTCACAACTGGTCTAAATAGGCTTGAGGTAAAGGTAAGGTTGTTTTAATTTGATAATTACTCTAAACCTTAACCCAGACCTTGACCCTCAAATAAACATTTTTCTTTTAATCTGTGAACAAGTGTGTCACGTCAGAATTACTTTTTAGAGATGTATCAACCCATGCTCATACATATAAGTGCAAAAGTTCAAATATTTTATTTTACTCCACTTAACTCAAGGATTATGTTTTATGCTTTTATGTTTTTTAAATGAAATACTTCAATTTTAATTTAAAAAATGAATTTTTTTCAAATTTTAGAAATAAGCATAATTTTAAGTCTCCATTAAGTTTTGCACAATGTTTTTTTTTTTTTTTTAAAGCATGGTGTCGTAACTAAAAATAGTTTTAATACATTACAATAATAATTTTTGTACAATAAAGGTTGCATTTATTTTTTAATGTATCTTATTTTCTTGAAAAAGTAATCGACTAGCTAAAATAATCTGACAATTTATGTACTAAATATAATTAACTACCTCAGTTTTATAGTATGATAATTATATAAACTCCGTTAAGAAAGTTTTCATCCACCTATCTTGTACATTTTTCAGACACGATTACCTTTTATTCAGCAAAGATATAAGCATAGTTTCAACTAAATTATATCAGTTAACTATTCAAGAAGTATTGTAAAAAAAGATTTTACAAAATAACGAACAGAAAATTAAATACAGCAACCTCAATTTATTATTAAATACTCCAACCTCAATTTATTATTAAATCAGTATTAACATTTTTAAAATATAAACTAGATTTAGTAGAATTTTTATATTATTTTTCTTTATATGAGCTTTTTATGTTTTTAATTTTTGTTAGATTAATTATTAAAAATGAGAGTTGCAGAGAGTATTAGATCGCTTATTGTTAGACTATGGAAGGAGGAAAAATCACAGCGAAATATAGGAGAAATGATAAAGAAATCACTTTCAACTATGCAGTCCATTATTAAGAAATACCAAACCACCAAAAAAATTCCTGATAAGCCACGTACAGGATGTGTATAAATAAAATTCAAGTATTGCATCAACAAGCTATTTTGAGAACAGTCATCCAGAATCCTAAAATAAGTGTTCCAAAACTCGCTGGAATGTTGCAAAACTATTACAATTTAAAAATTAAATTTTCCTGAAACTGTTAAAATGCAGTTAAGAAGAGATAAATACAATGGTAGAGTACAATTGACAAAATCCTAAATCAGCAAAGTCAACAATGCCCAATCGACTACAGTTCGCAAAGCTTTATATTAATAAACTGCAGACATTCTGGGAATCGGTCCTTTCCAGCAATTAGTCAAAATTTAATGTCTTTCCATCAGATGAAGGAGTTAAAGTTTGGAGAAAATCAAATGAAGCATTTAAAAAACAAAATTTGTGTATAACGGTGAAGTATAATGAAGGAAGTGTTTTAGTGTGGGGGTGTATAAGTGCTTCAGGTGTAAGAGACTTGGTTTTCATTGATGGAAATATGGATCAAAATGTGTATTTAAACATTCTGAAAAATAATCTGGAAGAAAGTGCCCCCAAATTGGGACTTACTCGGTCATTTATTTTTCAGCAAGTTAACGATCCTAAACATACAGCCAAACATGTCAAGGAAGGGCTTATATTTAAAATAGCGGCTTCATACAATCTCCAGATTTAAGTCCTATCGAACATCAGTGAATGTAGAAGAATTAGGACACACAATGAGAGGATTCAGTAACAACTACAGTAAGTATTTATGAAAGAGTTAGCTCAATCACTCCAGAAATTACCCAAAAATTAGTTTATTCAATGAAAAACAGACTACATGAGGTAATAAATAATCGTGGTGGAAACACAAGTTTTTGAAACATTAACAAATTGAATTCGCATTACAATTTTATTTTATTTTTGTAAAGTACATGAAAACTTTTTTTGGAAAAAAATGTCTCCCTTTTATTCCAAAATGTTGTTTTTTTTTTACTCATTACTTTAATAAAATCTTTTTGTACAATATTTCTTAAATACTTAAATGATATAATTTGGTTTATAACATGCTTACCTCTTTGCTGAATAAAAAGTTATTGCACTTTTAAAATGTGCAAGATAGGTGGATGAAAACTTTTTTGACACAGTGTATATATATATATATATATATATATATATATATATATATATATATATATATATATATATATATATATATATATATATATATATATATATATATATATATATATATATATATATATATAAATGTATATATATATGTATATGTATATATATATATATATATATGTATATGTATATGTATATATATATATATATATATATATATATATATATATATATATATATATATATATATATATGTATATATATATATATATATATATATATATATATATATATATATGTATATATATATATATATATATATATATATATATATATATATATATATATATATATATATATATATATATATATATATATATAATAATTATTAACTTTATCTATTAGTTATTTATTAATAAAAATTCAGATGCTTTATCATCTGTTAAAATAATTTAAACAATAGTCAACAGGTGGTGGGTAAAAACATTTTATCAAACACTTGTCAATTCCAATTTTCATAAAAAAAAATTGTTATAATTATGTTTTATAAAAACATAATTATAATAATGAGATATGTTTTATTGTTTTAGTTCAGTAATAAATAATAAAAAATGTTTTGTTTTAGTAAAGTACCTGCATTTTTAAATGTTGTTGACATTGCCGGATTAGTTGAAGGTGCAAATGAAGGACAGGTATGTACAGGTATTTTTTAAGTTGTAATTTAAGTTTGTTATAAGAACATATTTGCAAACAAGTAAAAATTAAATAAACAAAAAATTCAAAACGACAATTTATTACTATTAGTGTAAATTTTTGAGTTGTTTTGTATCAGTAAGTGACATCAGTTTGAATAATTTGTGACATCAAATTGAAAATTTAATACTATTAAAATCTAATAGAAAAATAACATAAAAAATTATAATTTATTTTTTAAAACTTGAAATAAAACTGCAGCTATTGGTATAACTACACGCTTGCATAACTGCAAAAATGTCTCTCAAAAATCCCTAAAATAGCTCGGAAAAAAAAATTCATTTCTCAAAATTTGAAAATAATTTTTTGCAATGCGTTCAAATGACAGCAAATATTATTTAGAAAAAGTTATCAAGAAATAAAGTATATTTTAAAATATTACAAATTTGTTTGGGTTAACACCCACAAATGCTATTTCTTTAAAAGTTTTGTCCTTTTTGGCTGAAAAGTTAAATAAGTTGAATCAGCGATTTTTGATTATAACAAACTAATTCTAGAAATTTATTTAATAAGGAAAATGGATTTCTTTACTTTACTTGTTGCTTATAATTTAAACATAAAATTAACGTATACGTTTATTAAAACGTAAACTTAATGTACACGTATATTAAAATGTAAATTAAATACTTTTAATAACAAGAATGTTTTTTTTATTACAACAAACTGGTACTAGAAATTTAATAAACAAGGAAACTAGATTCACTGCTTGCTTGAATTTAAAACATAGAAGCAAGTTTTAATGTTTTAATGAACTCTAGTCATAATAACATTTTATGACTATGCATGAAAAATAATTTTGTGTATTCTTTGTTGCCACGATAGCGTGCAATCGCTTGCGATCTTTTGTAATTAAATTACTTTTTTTTTTTTTTTTTTGGCGGAGACTTTGTAATTGTAACTTTATTTCACTATGCAATTTATCTATAGACAAAGTTAATATTAATTATAAAATTGAACTTGCAATAAAATGAAATATGAAATTTATGAGCTTGTGTTTACTTTTATCAAAACCTTTTTTTTTTTTATTTTTAAAACATTTCTTTTGATGACACAATTTATTACATGATGGTGTAAGGGTTTGTCTATAAAGGACATCAAACAGAATTTGAATAACAATTAGAAGTAGAAGACCATAAGCTCTCTTCCGCAGAAATTTTCATTGAACCTAAATCGCTTTAAAAATACTTTAAAAATTGCCCTTTAATGCCCACCAGTGAAAAAAATATATTTTAAAGAAATACCGAAACTCTTTATTTTTAATTATAAAATATTTATTTTTCTTTTAGAATTTTTGGATTTTTTTGATTCTGATCATCATTATGGAAACTTTATGTCATTGTTCCTATGGAAACTTCATGTCATTGTTTTTATGGAAATTTCATGTCATTATTCCTATTTAATTCATTATTCATAAAACACCTGCAGGTTAAATGCAAAATAAAAAATCGTTTTGCAGGTTGAATGTAACAAGTGTATCTTCATTTCAAATTACCTTTCCAACTTATTCTATTTAAAAAAAATTGAAAGTATTTTTTATGTTTGGAACTTCCATATCTAAATTATCTTAAATCTGAAATTAAAATAGTTAAAGATATTGCCATTTAAGTTAAATTTAGTAGTTTGAATGATGAATTATAAAATTTTAAAAAATCAAAAAAAACAAGAACCAAAAAAACTCTTAACATGAAAGCAATGATTAAAAGTAACGATTAAAAGTCGAATTTTTTAATAATAATTAATTAATACGCACTGATTATTTTATAATATAAAAATATATAATTCTGAATATATCTATGGAAATCGGGATTTTGTTTTATTTTTGGCGCTGTCCAATCAATTTATGCAGCGCTAAAGTGGAGTAGAAGAAGAAAGAATATAAGAAAAGGACCAAATATTTTTTCCGGGACACATTTAACAGGCTTGGTCCGAAAGCGGGAGCAATCGCTCTCAAATACTGACCACGGAAACTATATTTAGTTGCCAAAAACTGGCCAGGTTTTTTAGTCGTTTTGAGAACATTTAAGTTTATTACGAAACAAAAAAATTTTGTTTTTCGGACATACATGGAAACATAAAAAACTTGAATGTTCTTAAAACATCTTGGTACGAAAGAATAAAAGAATATTCGCGAACACTAAAAACCTGCTAAATTAACGAACAAACTAATTCTATTGGTTCAAAAAATACGCTGACTAAACAAAATAAAGTTCTAGAGTATTCTGTGGAAATGTTTTAAAAATTGTATTATTCACGATTTGTTACGTTTTGAGATTTCTAGCATAAGTTGTTTTGAGAATATATTTTCAATACTATGGCTCTTTAAATATTACAAAAAATATCCTTTTTTTGTAAAAAAATGTCTCCGTAGCCTGACTTGAACGGGAGTGCTGCTAAATTGACTGAGGGTTTAGTTAGGGTAAGCATCAAGCTTAGGTTTAGGGTTAGGGTTACGGCAAGTTATGGTTATATTACTGAAGTTAATTGTTTTTGTGAATAGATGAAAATAGAAATGAATTATAATATAAAATAAATAAACAGAAATAACAAAAATAAATATAAAAAATACATTTTTATAATAAAACAATAAATTTAAATATGTATAAATAAAAATAGAAACAAAAATAAAAATGTATAAATATAATTAAAGAATTAAATAAGTAAAAAAAACATGTCCCGGTAAACGCCGACTAGGAGTTATATATATATATATATATATATATATATATATATATATATATATATATATATATATACACATACACATATACATATACACACACATATCAGTTGTTTAGCTATAAGTTTAATGTTTTGAGCAAGTAAAATTGGTGTGCCCCCTGAAAAGTGCAAATTAATAATTGTGTTTTAATCACAAAGGTTATATACAATATGGAATAAAAACAAAGTTGCACATCTTTCTAACTTATGCTTATCCAATTTAAGTAATTACATAAATTGGATGTTGGCAAACTTTCTGGTAATAAAAAAAGTTAAAAAATTTCCTAATATTCTGTGCGTTTGGAGCATTTGCTCCAACTTCTCCAATGTAGCTACGCCATGGGTATACTTGCATACCGGCATTTTCTGACCACTTTAGATCCTCTTTCAAGGCTAATTTTTTTTATAAAAATTAAATTTTTTTGTCAAAAGTTGCTGATTTCTGTGACGTTGAGGGAGTGTCTAATATAAATCCATTTTGCTGAATTTAGCAAAGACTACATTTTTTTTTTTTAGCTTTATTGCTGTATATTTTGCACTTAAAATCTCAATAAATTTGCAATATTTATGCATTTTATTGTTATATTGAGAACTCTTTACATATTTTATGTATTATGAAAATGCTTAAGAACTTATCTTTGATAAGTTAAAAGTTTGTTACCTTGCTTGTTACTTTAATTATAATTTTATTCTTCAGTTAGCTTCATTTTCAATTTTCTCTAGCCTGCCCCCGCATTAGACCTGCACCTTAAAAAATATTATGGGAGGGGGTGCTTTTTAAAAATGAGACATTTTATATGACTTTTATGATCAAAAGTATATGCACTGCAGCACCATGCACACTTACAAGTAAAGTCTTTATATTATTAAGGTATAATGCTGAGGTTAAGTAAAAGCACACACTCACTGACGTTTTGTATTATTTAAGTGGCAGTCACTTACATCGTAATTTTTGCACCCTTGTCCTTTTCGGATTAGTGAACAATCAGAGCTATTTGAAGGACCTTCTATTTAGACACCTTTTTTTCAATATGTACTTCATTTTTTTTTACAAAAATATAAGTATATACTACAAAAAGTAGATATAAATATTTTAAATAAAACTTTTGAGAAAATGTTATTCTTAGTATGGGGGAGGGGAGGGGCGCTTTTTTCGGGAAAGAGGGCTGTGCCCTATCACTTACCCTTCTCATTGGCGAATCTACGATCAATATATACTTGCTATGTTCTACCTTCCCTAAGATTTTTGTAAAGATCAGTTAAACAGTTTAAAATTTACTAATGTTTTTATAAATCCAAGATGGATTTAAGCCTGTTCTGGTCATGCTACACTTTGCCACCATATCTTAAAATGATAAGCATAATTTTCTGAGTTATTGGTGAAAATTTCATGATTTTATCCACTTGTGTACAACTCCAGTCATTTTTAATGCTTATCTGCTGTACTATGTCTACTCTGATAGTTATGGTTGCATCTGAAATTGTGTATATAAAATTACATTTGATGCTTATAGGGACTTGGTAATGCTTTTCTGTCACACATAAAAGCTTGTGATGCAATTTTTCAAATGCTTCGTAAGTTTTATTTATAATTTATTTATGATTCAAACATTAGGCTTTTTTTTTTTAATGATTGTTTAAATCAATTTTTAGATAAAGTATCTTAACAAAAAATTACACTTATATTCAGGTGCATTCGATGACGACGATGTGACACATGTTGATGGAAGTGTGGATCCATGCAGAGATTTAAAAACTATATTAAAAGAACTTAGACTGAAAGATGTAGAATATTTCAAAGCTAGATTGGTATTTATTATTTGCTTGTTGTTTTATATTGCTGCTAAGAAGGAACTTACTATTTTTTTTTTTTTAATTTTATTTTTTGTTCTTTTTGTTTGGTTTTATTTTATGTTGCTTTATGTTTTTCAATGTTGTTTTTATAACTTAGTCATTCAGATGAGTCATTTTTATAATTACAAACTAATTTTATAACTATTAAGTCTATTTTTAGTTTTTATGTTTTTCTATGTTTTATAATTTTGAAGGTTTTTATTCATTTTAGTTTTTAGATTTTGATATATTAATACAACTGATTTTTTTATGAAGGGAGAGCTAGAAAGAAAAGTTCGAAGTAACGATAAAAAAGTTTTAGAAGAACATGTATGTATTTTTTATATTTATTCATATAAATTTATCTTTTTTATTCATTATTTACATTTTTATTATTGCCTCAAAAAATGTCAGAAAAGTATGTGGTGAATTACAAAGCAGTTTTTATTGGGTTTGATATGGGTTTTATTATCTTTGTATACTTGTTTTTAGTTTTAGGGTCAATTTGAATTGTGATTTATTTTCATCATTTTGTTTTCATATTTTCTACCAGTAGTATAGTAAAAAGTATTTTAAGCAAAACATCAATTAATTAAATAATTAAACTAAATTTAAATTAGCCTAAAATAAATAATACTAATACTAAAATTTTAGTAACTCTTATTAAAAGTGTTTCACGCACGGTTTTTTAAACTTGGTTTTCATGTCCCACTTTCCAAATTTGGCATGTTAAAAGTCTGACAAAATATCATCTAGGTGAGGTACTACAGACCTGGTGTCTATCATTCTTGTAGTGTCTAACTTTCACTATCTTTCTAGTGAACTTTTTCTTAAACCTTTACTTAAACTTTTTCTTAAACCTTTACTTTTTTAAAGAAAGGAAATGAATTTTCATGCCCTTAACAAAAAGTTTTTAATTTGTTTTTTAATGTTTTCAAATTTTACAAGAGGCTCTCCATTTGTAATAACAAAAAAGTACACAGAGGGGGAAGGATCATCTAAAGTAAAATGCTATGTAAAATACAAGGAGCGAAAAAATCAATTGTTTTACTGCCTACCCAGTTTATAGACGGCGTCATGATTGTGATTTTTTTTTGGATTATAAACCATTCTTTTATTGGTAAAAGTTAAATAAATATTAACTGTATTATAATGTATCATGTTATAATTAGTAATAAATATTAGAAATATGTATAAATATAAAAGTATATATAAATAAGATATATATATATATATATTTTATTTTATTTTATTTTAATTCACCTCCTCAAGGCCGAGAAGGCCACTACAGACGAGGAGGCTACTTATTTGTGGTTATAACCCTCTCTCAACTCTATAACTCCGAAACACGAACCAAGGCCACTGCGCGGAGAAACGAATTGAGCGCGGTACTACCAGGGGCGTGGTGGGGATCGAACTCAGAACCACTCGTTAATGAAGCGAGCGCTCTACCACTACACCACTACCGCATATATATGTATGTATATATATATATATATATATATATATATATATATATATATATATATATATATATATATATATATATATATATATATATCTTATCTTATATTTATACAATATTTATAATGTATAAATATTATATAAGTAAATAATAAGTTTAAAGCTAGTGTTATTCTTCGACTTTGAGATTGTTTTCGAATGCTGCAAATTCATCAGCCATTTCTTCATCACCACTGTCTAGTTCATCGTCATCACCAGTTTGCTCTAAAGTAGATGTTTATTATCAACTTGAATTAGTCTTCTTTTTTGCAAATAATTTTTTTTTGCTCTCTTTACTAATCAAAATAGTTTCCTCTTTTGACCAGTTTCTATGATTTCCCAGAATCATTATGCTATCATTGAGAGTATCATGATTCATGGATATCCATTGATCTGATAATATTTTTGTTAAGGTGCTAAAAACTCTTTCCACTCTTGAGTTTGATCCTGAGATTGCCATGATAATTGATATGACTTTTACCAAATTAGGAAATTTGTACTCTTTATATAAAAATGTTGACCGCCAAATTTCTTGTGTCTGGCGATTGCGTATGTATGCAAAATTTATTTTGGCATGAATTAAAAATAGTTTCTATTTGTGTGCAACTAATTATTCATTAGAATTGTTATAATGCAATGCTTTTTTAAAATGCGTACACAAAAAATGTGTTTCTTCTACACCAAAATCTTTTTTCTGCAATCCAGTTCTGAGGATCAATGAACCGCATGGCTTTATAAATATCAGACTCTTCTGTAATGCTACTAAATCTACTGTTTAATGTTTTTATAAGTCTAGGAATAGCATTTCTCTTGATATTTCTTACAGAGCATAACGTCCAATCTACATATGCAGAAGTCATGTCTAAGTTTGTAATTTTATATGTTCTGTTACTTGAGTATTTACGTTAACCCCCAGGTTTATCAAATTCACCAGTCAGTGTTCCAGATAAGGTTTGATTAAGTACGTAACTATCTAAAAATTCTAAATCTGTACTAATTTCTTCTAGCTTTAATTCAAGTACTAAGTTTGTTTGACCTTAGATGCTGGCACAACAATATCTTGTAAATCGTGATAAATGGCAACAGTGCAAAGAAACTCATAACTTGAATTGCTTTAGTAACCCCGAAACTTTTGCTTTTGTTGTTGCTGGATTTTTTTTTTCAGTTATGAATTTGTAAGCCACTATAAAAGCTGGCCAGGAATCCAATTTTTAAATGCTCTTATGTGATGGCTAACAAATCTCATTCCTGTAAATTTTGGTAAACTGTATTGCACGATACCTAAAAGATCAAATATAGTTAAATATTTGAAATTCAATGGTGTACATATATCATTATTAACAAAAAACAAACAGATAACTGAGCAAACATGTGACGGCTTTTCGACATTATTTCAACATACTTTTAATGTAAATTTGTTGAAAATTCGTGGAAAACCATTGAAGCCTCATCATGTGTTTGCTAGGTAACCTAGGAAATATACTTTCAGTGTGTTCCCATTATCTCTATTAGTTTCTTAGAGAATACATCATACCTAAAGATGCACCATATAAAATAGAATTGTGTACATGTTACAAAGTTTGTCCCATCAATAAAACATAAAGCAGTTTTTTTTTTATTAACCCTTTAGAATCTAAAAATATTTTCTCTATTTCTTGCACAAACTTTGCAATATATTTTTATTACATACATGATACTGTTAATAACTTCTGTTTTGTAACCTATTACCTGATCCACCTTCTATTTACTAAAAGTTGATAGCATAAATTTGTTTCATTTTGGAGATGAATAAACATGCTTGATTGCGAACATTCTAAACAACAGAAATGTTTTAAATTTCATTTAAGATAAAGAATACTTAAAAATATAAGTAAAAAAAGATTAAGAATATTTATTTTATTTGCTAAATATGTGTGAAATATTAAAAACAAAGCAAAACAATCTTACATTTTACAAACCAAGGTTTAATTTTATAATTTAAATTTTCTATACTTGGATGAACATGTTTTGAAAATAGTAAAAATTCCATTCTATCTGTTAGCACTAATGACTTCATAACTTTCCATTTATTGTTTGTACAAAACAGATAATTGCTTTCAAATTTGAACTGATTGTGCGATTTAATTATTATCAAGTGAATAATTTTTTTTAAATACTTGATTGTATACTTAATAAATATGTAAAAAACTTATAATATAATTATATTAATACGATCTATATTAGCGTGAGTAAATATATATACAATATATGTATATACTCTTACAATTATAATATATAAATAACTTATCGCACCCGTTATAGGACATATGTCTATTTTTACCAAAAATGAGAAATTTGGACAGTTAAAACTATAGAATGTTGTCCATGTTATCTTGAAGTATTATGCTTTGATTATTTATAATTAATGAATTGTTAATAATTAAAAAAAAAGGTGTATATGCCATCGTGTCGAAAACTTATATAGAAAAGAGACTTATCGAACAATACAAATTTTTTTTTTTGCATTTTGGAGATACAACCCTTTTCTAAAATGGGTGTGTTATATACTGACGTATATTTGTATGAATGCATTTTTTACATCATTAAATACCAGGTCATAAAAGCATGAAACTAGTGGCATTACTTTTTTTTTTTTTTTTTTTTGTGAGCACGTTTCTTAAAGATTCAATAAACAAAACCTATAACAAATTATAATAAACAGTAGAATCCTGTTAACTCTGACACTGAAAAGATTTATATTTTGTCCAACTTAACAAATTAAGCAAAGGTCTCCATGTATCAGACTTTTCGAAAATGCGTGACTTATGGAGGTTAAAAGACTTAGTATTTTGAATTTTTCTGTTATAGTTCTAAATTGAGTTTCGTTTAGCTTCAACTTTTTTAATACATAGACTTCAATATAAGTTTAACTGATTTGAAGATATCAGTGAAAATATTTAGTTAGTACACAAAAGTATTTGATATTGGAATGTTTTGAATTTTATTTGATGTTTTTGAGTTTTAAATATAATCAATATAAATAAATAGGTTGTGATTGAACCTGTAGGAAATCGAAGCTTTAAGTGAAGTTTTAATTTGTTAAATTATACTACAGTAAATATTTATTTTTTAAGCATTTAAAGTTTGGAATTTTTATTGAAGTGTTGCAAGTTTTAATATTTTATTACAGGGTACAATTAAGCAGATAATATGATAAAGTTCTGAATTTAAATTTGATAAAAGAATTTAGTTTTAATAAAATTCATTCTGAATTTAATTTTAATAAAATAAATAAATTATTAGCCAATGAGTATAAAATCTCTTACACTGAAATTTTTAGTTTTAATTTATGCGGACATACTTTATAACAAATATAATTTCTTTGTTCACACTATGCAAACTCTACTGTTTAATTGGCAAAAATGGAAAATTCTTTTTGAAGATAGTCAATGTATATTATTCCGTTCGCATCCCAAAATACAGAAGCCATCACCTTACCAGTCGACTGTTGCGTCTTTGCTCGCTGTGGATTTGGTTTGTCAACTGCTGTCTACTCAGTTGACTGTCTTTTAGATTCTGGTGTATAATGATGAAGCCATGTTTCATCCATTGTCACATATCGATGAAAGAATTAAATTTTTTTGCAGTTTAACAGCGCCAAACGCTCCTCTGAAGCATCAATTCATTGTTATTTTAAAATTGCCCCCCTGGCAAATTCTTCAGACACAAATTCTTCAGATTTTTTACTCTTGTTATAAAAATAAGGAGCTCAATTTGTCGTGCCCGGAAAATTTTTTACAAGCATGTTTCACATATGCGGAGCGATTGCTCCCACTTCATTACAAGGC